GAGCAAACAGAGCAGGGGACACATGGAAATTGGCATAAGATTTCATTTTCAAATTTGTAGATTATTTGATGCATTTTTGATGATATAGTCCATGGTAAATAAATTCTGGACGAAGTAGATGTAGTAGTATTGTGTACAGAATTTGCTTCCTCTATTATGGGTCATAAAATACTATTGATATCGATTAAATTAACTATTCGTTTGCCATATTTCAAAGAATAGATTTCAAAAATCTGATGCATGTGAAATGGCATAATATACGGGTGATAATAAGATATATACGAATCACGAAAGATTATAGATATCAAGGTAATCGGGCTTATTTAAATTTTATTTTAGTATTGAAAATCAATAGATAAGGTAGTTATTTTGGATGCCAAGTATAAATTCGAAAGATTTTTTATTTTTTAGGAATAAAAGAGTTAGCGACAACTTTTGAAAAAGTAAGATGGAAAGCCTTTTATATGTTTAAAGATATATACTATAAATAGTATTTTAATACATATTTATTGTTATTATTGCATATAGAAGATTTTTCATCCTTATTATCTTTTTTTTTTTTGTCGATCATGCTTGATTACAATCTATAGTATCTATTAATCATGATTTATACATTATAATATTAGTGTACTGCACGCAATATGATATTTGGTAAGCAGGCTAAGTAACGATTAATATCCAGAATAGAAATATGTGCATATAAAGTGACAATATACAGTAAGATCAAGGCTAAGCAACAATTAATGGCTAATTTCAGTATACACGTGTTTAGGATATTAATAAGTACGAATCGAGTAATAAAAACATAGCAAAAAAGTATGTAGCCAAATCAGGCATACATGTATGTAAAGTGACAATATTCGACAAGATAATCAAGGCTAACTAAAATTCAATGGCTAATTTAATTATATGTACTTCTGGGATGTTAATACAAATTGAGTAATAAGAAGTACACAGCAAAATAGTGACTAAATGAAGTATATGCGTGTCTAAGATAATAATGCAAGCAGGAGATATTGGAAAAGTGCAAGTCACATCTAAATAAATGCCAGGCAGTAACGATGAGAGCTTTATACCAACATATACTAAGATAATAATGCAGATAGAAGATATTGAAAAAGTACAAGTCACATCAAAATAAATACTGGGTAGTAATAGTGATAACTTTATGCCAACACATATTACTACACTAATACTAATTAAAATCATTCTATTTAAATGCGGTAGTATAAGTAAGTTAATGCGGTATATACAGGGTTATTGTGTAAATAATTACCATATTTGTGTGTAATAGTGGGCTGGGGCATTAATTCGAATTTTGATTTGCACATTCCACACTCTACTCTATAATTATTTTATTTAATTTTTAATAATTTACTTCAAGTAATTTCTTATGTTTGTTTAATAAGTAATTTATCATCATCGGTGTTGGTTAATTTCAGTATATATAGAATTTCTATTAAGCACGTACGTATATACGTATATGATTTTGAGTTTAAAACCCATTGATAACTTGACTATTTAATAAGCCCGTGAGTTTGAAAATTTACATTTTGACAAAAACCAAGGCGCATGCGCACTTCAAAATAACGCGCAGAGGGGCGTTATTACGGGCGAATATGGTAATGAAAAACAAATGTTTAAAGTTTAACTGTAAAATAGAATTTGATAGGATAAAGAATGTATATATATTTATTTGCATTTAGTAATTTATATAGTAATAGAATTGTTAACAATTTTTAAAAAATAATAAAAAAGTAATGCTAACAATTTTTTCA